TATTTTACTGAAAAAGTTGAATTTAGTGGAAAATCTTTTCGAAAAAGTGGAAAATTCGAAAAAATCCATTCATTTTAAGAAAAAAAGAAACGCATTTTTGAAAAAAGATTTCCGGAAAAACCGCAATTTTCAACTCACCCTCAGCAAATCCAGCGGCATATCCTTGCAAATAATGTGGAATTTTCGGGCTAATCACGTCGACTTCCAAGAATGCCCATCTGTAATTTTGTTTTTTTGAAATTTTAATTCCTTCCCTCCGTCATCGGAATTATCTACCGATTTCAATACAAAATCTTATCGATTTCTTGTGAAATCCTCTATTTTTTTTGATTTCGATCCATTTTCCATCGCATAGGTTCTATCGATTTTCCTCCCCTCTCAACAAACATTGACTCATTATGTGCTTACCCCGTTTGGTTGACTTCGTCATGGAAATAAGCCGTCGCAAGACGCTTCCCGCACAAATCCTCGTCAAGTTTTCGTCCCTCTTTGTAGTGGTACAGTTCACCGGTTGTTTGTTGGCAAACCGTGTACTAAAGTAGAAAAATAACGATTTCCTCCATTTCTAACCCACCTTCCGCTCATAAGAAGCGGCTTCTATGGCCAGTGCCACTCCTAAAAGAATCACCAACGACGTCTTCATGTTTTCAGCCCCAAATGCTAGCCAACTCGAATTCGTTGTTCCGGCTGGGTGCGGATCCGACGTTCGAGCGTCGGTTTACGGGTCCTCTGCAATTGCGGCAGGTAAATGCTATGCTAAGAACAAAAAGCACTTTGAAAAAGTGAAAAATATGAGAAAAATTAAAATTAGAACTCAAAAAATCTCAAATCGAGAAGAGAAGGCTCCCGGGAAATGGCACCATTTTCCTTTTGACCCCAAGAGAGTCAGGTGCTCTTTTGCTAGACAAAAAATCCAATCAATCTTTCTTGTTTTCCTATTGGACGGCTCAGAGAAGAGGCGCTCAAATGACCCTTTGATCATCTAGAAGGTTCTCTCTTGATAAATATTGTGGGATGCGGCTCTCGAAGAACTCGGAGAGCAACTGTCCCTGATCACCTTGTAGCCAAGCACTGCACTGACTTTGCACAGAGATGGGTCAGAAATCCAAAAATCTCGAGAATCGACTGATGAAAACAAGAGAAACAAGAAGAGAATTGACCTTCAGAAACCAGTTTTTTTTGGTGGAATAACTTTTGTTTATCCATCAGAAAATGATATTGTCAGAATTACTTGAAATGATTGTTTCCGCTCTGAAAGTTACTCTGAAAATAAGGAATTTTTTTCTTAAACATACAGGATTTCAGCCCGTTCCAACCGGCCAAAACCTTCGATAATTTTCTTCGAATTCGAAAAATCCATTTTTTCGGTGTTTAACAAAATTTTTTCTCAGTTTTTCTGTTGAATTCTTCAAAATTGGAGTAGAAGATTTCCCGTAAAACAACGTTTAGAATTCGAAAAGAAAAAAAAATTTCGGACAAATTTTCCCGAAAAAAAAAATCATTTTTCGCCTAATTCTGGCCGGAAACTCAAGACGCTTCTGGTGTTTTTGAGCCTGAAGTTTCGGTTTCAAATGAAGATAACCTGTTTGACATATATGATTTTTTTTCTGAAAATAATTATTCTGACGTCAGAAATGCTTGAATTCCTCCTCGACGCTTCCATTTTCCGACTTGAAACCCTTGAAATCCTAAATTCCAGGACTTCCAATGGCGAAATGGATGGGGTGTGCTGAAGGCGAACATGCTGTTAGTGTACAACAAGCAGGAGGACGAGTCCTCTCCGTCGGATCCACCGTTCCTTCTTCTCATCATCGAAGACTGCTTCATTGAGTTGTGTGATGAGAATCGGATTGGCAAGGACTTCACCTTTGTCATCAATTTTAAATCGTGAGTGTCATGGCTCAAACACTGATTTTTCGATTAAAAAAAGTAGAAAAACACTCCAGAATGCCGTATTTTTGCATAAAGCCCCTGCAATAAAAGTTGCATGCGCCTTTAAACCTCTCTGCCCATGATATCCATTCCAAACGCTCCAGAAGCTCCTGAATTCCTCGAAAAATCATGATTCCGTTTCAGAACGGGTCGCAGTTTCTACTTCGCCGCCGACAACTTCAAATCGCTCGGCCAATGGGTCTCGCTGCTCACCATCACCCCCATCGACTACATCAAATTATCGAAACAAAGTTTCCTCGAGCAAATCGAGCAGACACAGAAGAAAGAGGGCAAGGAATAGCCCGTTTCATTGATTTTTCGATTTTTGACTCATCGCTTTTTCTTGTCATATTTCTAGTTTTTTTTTCCTGTTTTCTGGTTATTTTTTGTGATATAATTCGATTTTTTTGATATGGTTTTTACGGGTTGTAAATGTATAATAGATTCTGTACTATTTTTTTTCGAAATTTTTGAAAACTGGGTTCGAAAAATCCCATTGATTATCTCAACGCTTTCAGACAAAAATATCGATTTTCCCCCTAAAAACTCGCCAATTTTCCAGGAAATGCCAGCCTACCACTCGAAATTCGACACGGAAATCAAAGTGTTGCCGCTGGGCAACACGAATATGGGAAAACTTCCCATCCGAACCAATTATAAGGGACCAGCGCCGCGTAAGTTCAGGGAAAAACCCAGCAAAATGTCGAATTTTGCCTAGAAAGTCGTAGAATTTTCGGCAAGTCGGTGTGCAAATTATTTGCTTGCCGTTGGCAAAAAATTATCGGTCAGTTTCCAAAAAAAAACCGGCAGAAGCCAGCAAAATGGCGAAATTCGTACTGGAGGACGGCGATTTGCCACTGAGCAACTTTCCCTTTGCTTGCTGCAGGCTTCGGCATGGTGGCGTTTTCCAGCGCCAAGCAAAATAGCATTTTGTAACAAGAATTGCCGAAAATTCTCGGAGAAAACTCAATTTTCAACCCAAAACTCAATTATCAGCACAAAAACTGAATTTTCGATCCAAAAACTTTATCTCCCATTCAAAAATTCAATTTTTCGACACAAAATCTCAATTCTTGAACTGAAAAGCTGTATTTCTGACCCGAAATCTCAGCTTCCGACCCGCAATCTCGATTTTCGATCCGAAAACTCAATTTCTGGCGTAAAAACTCAATTCCAACCCAAACACTCAATTTTTGAGACAAAACTTGACTTTTCCGACCTGAAATTCTAATTTTCGACTAGAAAACTCACTTTTGGACAAAAAATTGAAATATTTAACACAAAGACTCATTTTTTTGCCTCAAACTCCAATTCTCAACACAAAATCTCAATTCTCCACCCAAAACCCCAAGTATCCATCCAAAAAACCACCTAATATTCCAGAAACCAACCAGGAGGACATTATCGACGAGGCGCTCAACTACTTCAAACCGAACATCTTCTTCCGCGAATTCGAAATCAAAGGACCGGCGGATCGGACGATGATCTACCTCATCTTCTACATCACCGAGTGTCTTCGCAAACTTCAGAAGGTAATTTTGCAGTAGTGTGCATTTTCAGCATTTTAGTACGCCAAATGAGCCTAACTCTCCAAAATCCAGCCAACCAAACTATTGATTTTTTGCAGAGCCCCAACAAAATCGCCGGTCAAAAGGACCTCAATGCTCTGGCCCTCAGCCACTTGCTCCCAATTCCTGGAGAGAATGGATTCCCACTGAACAGTATGTACAAGGCGCCAACTTCTAAACCCGATGAGGACGAGATGCGTGCCTATCTCCAACAAATTCGTCAAGAACTCGGCGCCCGTCTCTGCGATCTGGCGTTCCCGGATCCACAGGACCGCCCGTCGAAATGGTGGTTGTGCTTCTCGCGTCGACGATTCATGGACAAGGGACTCGTCGGACAGGGTGTTAATCTCTAATTCTTTGTGAATACCTTTTGTGATTTCTTCACTTTCTTTTTATGTATTTATTTATTCCGATTTTGTTTAATGCTTTAAAAATACAACGATATTCCATATTCTAGTTTGAAATTCTAAAAAAAAACTCCGAGAAATATTCTAACTAATTATTCTGCTTCGACCCAATCAATGATAACAAGAAAGCCACGGTGTCGTGAACAACTTCTGGAGCGGTAATCTGGCAACGCGCCAGGTGGCTTCGGACCTCTTCGGGGAGGTGGTTGACAGGGAGGGTCTGAAAATAATTGTTTCTTTTGGGCTCAAAAATGAGAAGAAGCGTGTCGAAACGTGGATTACAGTACCTTTAAAGGCGCAACATAAAAATTTTAAACTTTGAGAAAAAGGTGCGCGTGAGTTTATTTTAAAGGCTCATGCAAATTTTATGCGAAAGGTCTCAACACGTGGAAAAAATTAGTGTTTTCTGCAGGAATAAGAAGCTCAGGAGTATTGAAAAAATTGCAAGTTTGGAAAAAAAATCAGAGAGCGTTTTCCGATTTGTCTTGATTGAAAAAATCGTGTTTGCACCATTTCGAAAAATAAAATTCTACAGTAAACCTTTCTCCATGACGGGACCCACGCTGCGTTGTTACAGTAATGTTTAGCTTTTGTTCTACTTCAACGGGACCTTTTTTTTAGAACAGAAGACAAAGAAAACAGTAAAAAGAAAGAAACAGTAAAAAATGATTTCATTAAAGCTGGAAAAAAGAGAAGGTGGAAGAACTGAATGGCATTTCTAGGCCACGGCCATCACACTCATTATCATCTGGCTCCCTGGTGCCGCGCTTCTCCTTTCTTCGACTGATAACGTTTATATCATTCTTATAATTGACTGTACACCGAGCACACCTTGCTCAAGTGGTAACACGCATGTTCCTGACCCGATGAGGGTCAGGTTCGATTTTGCATGATGGGGAAACTGAGATTTGGATGGATATACGTTGGGATCTGAGATCTGAAGCGCCTAGGGTGACGTCTGATCACACCAGGATGGCGTCAGAGGAAGTAGTTGTCAAAAGTCAGAAATCAGAAGAAATCAATGATTTTTGGATTTTTTTGGCTTTGATCTTTGATCTATGACGTCATAGTGCTCCGACTGTTTTCAAAAATTCGCTCAGAGCAGGATTCGAACCTACGACCCGCCTAAGCGGGATTGAATTATAAGTCCAACGCCTTTACCGCTCGGCCATCTGAGCTCTTCCTACCGGTGCTATAATTTGGAATACCTGGAATATGTTGCTCTGAAACTGTTTGGCTCTTCTCAGAAAAAGTGCTCATTGACAGTACACACAGGCAAAAAACCCGGCTGAAATCGGTTGAAAATGGCCGAAAATTGCAGAAAAATTGAAAAAAATTGGAAAAAAAATTTTTTCTTGAAATTTTTTTCGGTCGTTTAGGATTTGGGTTCTTTACGGATTTGAAGGTTTCTGATGCAGTTAACTGGTTACATTGGACCAACTGGTCCGATAGAAAAAAAACACATTGGTCCTAAAAAAATGATAGGTCTGAACAAACCTGGGCTGATATGTTGTAGTGTGGTTCCACTTAAGGATTTTTAGTCTACAATACAAGGTTTTAATCCAACTTTGAATAGGAAAAATTGCCGAACAGCTTTTTTTGGAATGAAAATATTATTATTTTGCGAAAAAAATTTGAGGCCTAAACTCTCATCAACAATAATTAGTATCATAAAAAAATGTTTCCTATTTTCCCGTTACAGATTTTGGAACAACTGATTTCAACGTTTGGAGTTCTGGCACGGTTTAGGGCCATTCGGGACCAGCGGATTTTCGGAAAATGCCAGGATCGGCTCTATTTTAAAACATGAGTCTCATTGGATCGGAAAAAATAGGGGCTCAAGAGGAGTCACATGAAGGGTCTCGGAAGAATTAGGCCTGTTTTACAAAAGAGTTCAAGGACCTGTTACAGACACATATGGGTAGTGTTAGGTGACTAGAAAGGTATACTGTAATTTTAAATCAAAATTTTTTTTCCACAACAAAAAATATGGGCGGAGCTTGATGGGTAGGAACAAGTAAGTCTAGATAAATGAAAACTGAATTTTATAATCATGAAAAAAACATGTTGCCATGCAATTAAAAGCGTTTCAAAACACTTAAACATTTCGAAACCAAAATTATTCTTATGAAAAATAGTGAAATTTTCTGTAGCAACCCTAGTTTTGTATACTCAAAATGCGCTTTCAAACCGGAGTTTCCTTCTTATCTTGCACAGTTAATGGCGTGAGTTGAAAAAGATGTGGGCGTTTTCGATTCAAACTGAAGAGAGCGCAGGGTGACCAGAGTATGACACGAGTTAGGTAAAAACAACTTCCTACCTACTCATTCCTTTTTTGTCAAAACACTGATGGAATAGGTGAAATGTACACGAACTTGCTAAACACAAGGTGTTAAAGTCATGAACACTCCGCCAGAAATTTCGGCTCTTTACGGTTTTAGTGGTCCCATGTTGAGACCAGTGGTTCCGAAAGGAGAATACTGGTCCCATGGTGGAAATACTAGTTCCCTTAGATGGCCGCATGAGTCGCATGACTGGTTCCAAAAAAATCACTAATTTTGACAGGAGGACTGATCTCATCTTGGGACACTCAGAGCTATTTTACGTCGATATCCGATTTCATATTCAGATCAGTTCCAACTTACCGCCAACCTCTCCAAATCTTGCGGACTAAAACTTCCCATCGCTTTGCTCAATGCGCCATCCGGCGCATTTGCTGATAAGGCAGTAGCCAATGATGCCTTCGCTGATTGTAATACGGCCAGGTCGACTGGGTTAAGGAGCTGGAAAACAGAAAACTGAAAATCCGGACAACCAAAAACTAATCGAACTTACACTAAATTTATAGACGAAGAAGGCTTGTTCTGCGAGTGTATCATTCAAATTTTCCATCATATTCAACTGATCTTTTTCTGTACTTGTTAAAGAATGACGAACTTGATTAATGATTTCGATGGATCTGTCGTATTGGTGGAATAGGTCACCGACCTCTTTTTGTTGGTGTTCGTCGCAGAAAAAGGCGGTCTGAAATTTGGCGTTTTTTCTAGGTAATCGAAAATCAAAAAAGCTGTTATCTACTACGATTAGGGAATATAACCAAATTTTATTAGTTGTTGAGATTTCTAGGGCTCACATAACGAAAACTCCGACAGGACCATTGGGCCCGGCGCGGCCTTAGCTATAACTTTGCTCAAAATCAAAATTGGGGGCCCATAATCGTACCAAAATGTAGATCTAGATGAATTCTACACGTCTGGAATTATAATTCCGGCTTAATTCCGGCTTATTTCCGTCTTAATTCCGGCTTATTTCCGGCTTATATAATCGTCGTCAAACCAACCTGAGCTGCACCGGACCGACTAGAGTGTCCGGACCCACAAACCCAGCCCTAGGTTTTTGAGCCCGTAGAGTCCAGCTGGTCCTGTGCCGCTCAAATGTTTTCAGGAGTTTTCAACACAAAGACCTCCACTTATGAGCCCACAATTTCAACTTGGAGGAAAGTTATCGAGATCAAGCTCGGCGAAAAAACCAAAAAAAAACGTACCCTCTCACAAACATACGCCCTCAATCGATCTATCCTCATGGAATCTATGAATCTATTGATCTTGGAGGATATCAGTGGATCGAAAGATGCAGCTAAACGGATTCGTGAGAGACAGGAGGAAGCAGACGGCGAGGGTTCTTGGTGATAGTGGTGGTCTTGGTGTTGGTGGTCCTGCAATCTGATGAGACTATCAGAATCGGGTATTTGGGGTCGTGACTTTGCGAAAACTGGGGAAGAAAATTTCTGAAAATGTAGATAAAAAAAATTCTCTATCGAATGGTATACATTTCATATAGGGTCGTATCAGAAAGTTGCTGCCAAAACATGGAAAAACTGATTTTTACCACTGAGAATTTCAGTTTTTCAGCGTTTTCTTGCTGATTTTCTGATAAAACCCTATATGAAATTTATACCAATCGATAGATAAATTTTTTCTCTACATTTTCTTATTTTACAGCCTCAGTTTCATCAGAATCAAGGACCCATCGAAGTCCCGAAGCCGACAAGCAAGAGTTACCTGATACCCCGACGGCGGTGGTGGTGGTGGTGGTCCTGTTGGGTACCCTAACTCTTGATGATACCCATTCTCCACATTATCATGAATATTCTGAAGTTCCTGATGGAGATAATCCATGTGGTGTTGATTGTGGTCAGTTTGGTGACTTTGGTGATAGGCACCCAAGGAAAAAGGTACAATGGACAACAGGAAGGTGAGAAGCATTTTGAAATATGCCACCCTGACGCCTATAATCAAAATATACCGGGAGAGAGGGAGGGGGAGGGGGGATGAGAATCCGGATGATGTCTCTCGGGGTGGGAAATGAAATGAAAGTGATTGACGATGCGTGACGGTCCGACTGGCATACTACTGCTACTCTGCGTGTCGGGATATGGCAGGGGAGGGGGGATTCTCGAATTTTGTTTTTTTTTTTTTTTGGAAAATGAGGAACATGGAACAGATTGGTGGGAAAGTGATGGACAAATAAGGGGGAACATGGGGAACGGGAGAAGGGAACTGGCAAAAAATCCGACGTCTGGAGGCATTATCAAAGGCATTGTATGATTTTTTATCAGGGATTAGTTATTAATACATGGTTCCTCCATGCTATAAACTTTATGGACCATACTTGTCCAAATTTCGCCCGTCGCTGAAAAACTGTCATTTTTTCGAAATTTTTTTTTCAAAATTCTAGTTTTTTCAATCAAAATTTGGGAATTTGTTGTCTATATTTGCTCAACAGAAGTTAGTGAAATTCATAGCAAAAATTCAATTTTTGAAAAAAGAAAAAACATTTTTGAATCCGGGCCGGGTCCCGCCCGCGACAACTATGTTATGAATCTTTTCACCGGTTGTTGATTCGGTGAACAAAAGTTTGTTAGGCAAAAAGAAATAGAGAAAAGGAAACAATACAGTGATAAGAATTAAGAGCTAGCAATACAACTTTAGGAGAGAATATTTATTACACATTAGAATGTCAGCTCTTTTGTCGCTATTCTGCCCATTCTGTAAAGGTCTTTATAGTAAGTTAAAACCCTGATTGTTTGAATTTGAGTTTGAAGGTGTTGTTAACCTCCAGTAATTTTTGTAATTGTAGTAGGCATGTGTTTAGCAGATTTTGTTATAGAGCAGCTACTGCAGCAACAGCCCGAAAATTGTTTTTCCAGATGACAGTAACAAACGTCCGTGTCTTGGAACATGTCTTCACAATGTTTGTAGCGCGTGCATAAAGTCCAAAGGAGATGCCGAATGCCCAATTTGTGATAAGGAAAATGCGTTTGCGAATGTTGTATATAATCATGGACTCGAAAACGTTTTGGCAGCATTGCATTCAGGAAACGCAGAAGAGCTGCTGGAAGAGATGATTTTGAATCCACACGTGAGTCTGTTTTCTCAAATCAGGGAGGCAAAAGATAGCTGTTGTGAAAAAAAGGGTTTTCGCAAGTTTTGTAATAATTGTTTTTTAATAGTTTTGTAATAACGTCTAACTTAGAATTCTAGTTTCTGAAGAATTCTATAAACGTTTCTTCAGAAACTCAGCATTGGTTCTTGCAAAGCTGGGAAAGACGACTCCACTGAAAACCTTCGAATGTGTGTAACTTGTGCGGAAACCTCAAAGCTTTTCAAGAAACTTCCGAATGGAAATTCTGAAATTATTGAGCAAGACAAATTGATTTATCTTGCAAAAGCTATACTTTACTGTTCGGATTGTATTGCTGACGGATTACCAGATCATCTCAACCATGTTTTCCTACGAATATCAAAAACCAAATTGACCGAAACGGATCGCAGTTTCTGGCAATATAGAGTTCTTGCATTGACAACCCAAAGAAAACTAGCTGAGTTTTCGGAAAACCCGGAGTTCACAACGTCCAAAATGTTCAAAAACATCGTTTTGAACTTCGAAAAAGAAGCAATTCTTGTCGGAAAAGCAACAAATCCAAATAGAACTGACTGGTTGGAGGGGTTTGGATTCCCACAACAAAAATTAGTGAATATTCATTCGGTGCCGGAATTGGCACAGGCTAAAAAGAAATCGGTTGAAAAAGCCAAAAAAGTAATATCTCGGATTGATAAGGTTCTAGAACGGCAGTTATGGATAATGAGGGAGGAATTAAATTTGTTAGCAATGACGG